CTGCTCATTATAAACAATGTTGCTATAAACATTTCTGTACACAACTAATACCAATAGCTATAAGTGGAGCTTCTAGATTATGTAGTATAATTATCTTTCACTTTACTCTTGATAGTGACAAATTGTTTCCCACAAAGACTGTGCTAGTTTACACTCTCACCAGCAGTCTTGTAAGAATTCCTATTGCTCCACATCTTTACTGATACTTGAGATTAAAAGACTTCTTTGTTTTGCTAGTCTAAAAGGGTCTAAAGTGATATTGCTTTACAATTTCTTTCTTTCTTTTGGTACTGGAGATGTAACTTAGGAGTACTCTACCTCTGAGCTATATCCCCAGCCATTTTTATTTTTTTGAGACAGGTTCTCTCTTGCTAAATTGCAAGGCTGGACTGGAATTTGTGATCCTCCTGAGTTGCTAGATTAGAGGCATCTACCACTGTGCCTGCCTTGACTTGCATTTTCCTAATGAATTATATGGTTGTGATTTTCATATATTTTTTAGCCTTTTATATATTTTTCTCTATTGTCATTTAAGCATTTTTATAATGTATTTCTATTTTTTCATTTGTTGATTTGTAAGAATTCTTTATTATGGCTATTAAAATCTATATATGTACAAACATCTTTTATGAATTATCTCTACTTTTTTAATGGTGCTTTTTTTCTAGTTGATTTTTAAAATTTATTTATTCTAATTTGTTATATATGACAGCAGAATACATTTCAATTCATAGTACACATGTAAAGCACAAGTTTTAATGTTTCTGGTTGTACACAAATTGGAGTCACACCATTCTTGTCTTCATACATGTACTTAGGGTAATGGAGTCCATCTCATTCCACTGTCTTTCCTCCCTCTACCCCCTCCCATTCCCTCCCTCCCCTTTGCCCTAACTAAAGTTCCTACATTCCTCCCATGCTCCCCGACATCCCCATTATGGATCAGCATCCTCACATCAGAGAAGACAAAACTCTTTCATTTTAACGTAGCTGGATTTATTGATCTTTTCCATTAGGGCCTGTGCTTTTTGTTATTGTTTGTTTTATAGAAATACTTTCTTCCGGAGGGCTGGGGTTGTGGTAGAGTGCTTGTCTAGCATGTATGAGGCACTGGGTTTGATTCTGAATACTGCATATAAATAAGCAAATAAAATAAAGGTCCATGAACAACTAATAAAAATATTAAAGAAAGAAATACTTTCTTCCATGTAGTCATAAACATTTTCCTATGTTTCTTACAAAACTTAAAATTCAGCCTTTCTTGTTTACTCCTTAATCCATTTTAGTAGGCATTTGTATATGAAGTGAGGTAGAAATCCAATTTCATTTTCAATGTGTGTATTTTTTTTAAAGTTGGATCTAGGGAGGGGGGATAGTAGAGGATAGGAAAGGCAGCAGAATACAACAGACACTAGTATGGCAATATGTAAATCAATGGATGTGTAACTGATGTGATTCTGCAATCTGTATATGGGGTAAAAATGGGAGTTCATAACCCACTTGAATCAAAGTGTGAAATATGATATATCAAGAACTATGTAATGTTTTGAACAACCAACAATAAAAATTAAAAAAAAAATAAAGTTGGATCTAGAATGCCCTCAAAGGTTTATGTATTAAAGGCATGGCCCCCAATGCAGCAATGTTCAGAGGTGGGGATGTGGGGAAGTGATTGGATCATAAGGGCTTTGACCTCATCAGTGGATCAATCCAGTGAGGGATATATAATTTGATGGCATTGAGGGATCATAGAAACTGTAGGAGGTGGGATCTAGTTAGAGGAAGTGGGTCACTGGGGGTGTGCCCTGGAGGGGTATATCTTGTCTGAGTCCCTTTGCTCACATTCTCTCTACTTCCAGGCTACAATGAGGTGTACCAGCAAGATGATCTGCTCCCCATGCTTAGAATGAATGGAGCCAGCCAACCATGGGCTGCAACCTTTGAAACTATGAGCTAAAATAAATCTTTCCTCCTGTAAGATTTTTTTCTTCAGGTATTTTGTCCAGTTATGAAAAAGCTGACTCATTCTCTTTCTCTCTCACACACTCATACATACATGTGTGTGTGAGAGAGATATATATACACATATGTATCTAAAATTACTTGTACCTGTACTAGTTAGAGAATATTCTATTTGATCTGCTGTCTCAGATGTGTTTCCATATATGTACATATTTATTTATTTATTATTATTTTTTTCTCTATCTTTAGGCCAATATAAAACTATCAGTTGCTGTTGTTTAATAATATATATTGGACATTTAACTAGTTCAAGCTCTCTCACTTACTATTTTGGAGTATCTTATATGTTCTTGGCCATTTGTTCTTGTTCCATGAAAAGCCCTTTTGGGATTTAGGCTGGAATTGTACTATATTGGTGTGTTCATGATACTGAGTCTTCCTACTCATTAACATGGAATAAGTCTCTGTCTATTCAGATCTTAAAATACCCTTTAGTCAAATTTTAAATATTTATGCATATTAGTTTTGTTCATGCTAGGTTTATTCCACAATGTCTTGTTTGTGCTATTATAAGTGGTATTATTACATACTTTTTCTTCCATGTTGATGTAATTGTCCTATAATTTTCTTTTCTTACATGATCCTTATCTGGTTTTATTATTAAGGTTATTCTTGCTTGATACAATTATTTTGGGAAAGAATTAACCTTTTCTTGGGTTTACAGTTCAACTATATTGGTGTCATAAAAATACACATGATTTTTGAATATTGTTGTTACAACCACTTTCCTAAACTGTCATTCTTGCTCATATTTTTATCTATGTATTCTTGTAGTTTTCTTTGCAAAACTATCATATTATCTGTTATCATAATATTAACACTGTTGGTATTTGTGTGTGCATGTGTGTTGGTGGTCCTGGAAATAGAACTCATGTACACCAGGGAAGCACTCTACCACTAAGCTGTATCCCCTGACCCAAATTGTCAACTCTGCTCATGCTCTCCCTCTCCTTTTTCTCTCTAGGACTTCCTTTAAAAACACTGTACAGTTAATTTTATTTTGTGGTGCTAGGCAAGTGCTCTATCACTAAGCCATAACCCTACCCTATTTTACATTTTGATGCAAGGGGGAATATGAAGAATCACAAGATCCTACAATTACAAGATTGTGAGTTTTTGGAAGGGACAAGCATACAATAGCTACACTCACTGTTTCTTATGAGTGTAATCTGTGATGTAGGCACTTGAAAGCAACTATACTTTTCTTAAAATCAACTAGTTCAGAACTTGGACTCTGCTAGGGTGGGTTGATCACTGATTAATATTACAGGCTTTAAATACTGCATGTAATTGTTCACATATAAGGGCCTCTCTACTATTCCAGTTTACCCCTGCCAGGTGAACTTCTGTGCATGAGACTAACAGGCTCAAAATCATGGTCCTATTCAGGCATGTTAAAAAATATTTTTTTTTTCAGGTGTATTTTAAATAGTAAAACACGGCAGGATCTTCTGCCCAACATGAAAACTGGAATGTACCAGTACCTTTAAGGTCTAAATGGGCATCTTCTTTCCCCCAGCCCCTCTCTCTGCCTCCCTCATCCTACCCTTTTCTGTTTATTATGTTGCCTTTTATTATTATTGCAATTTTTTATCAAATTAACAGACATTTTAAGTTTAGATTTACTGATGAGAATGCATAGTTTTCACAAATCTGGAATACCATGGTGGTACATGAGGCATTTTGTAAGTCCAAGGATGAATAGCATGCAGGGAAGGCAAATCCATATCCAGAGTATCATTTTTTTCCAGTAAAGAAAAAATGCTGTCCTTTTCATGATGGAAGTGAATCAGTGTAATCAATCTACCACCAGAAAGCTGTCTGATCACCACAGGGAATGGTGCCTTATAGGAGGCTCAGTGTTGAATTTTTGCTCAGAAGTAGTCTTGGACAGACAGGTCAGCCTTGGTGAGTGGAAGTCCATGTTGCTGAACTCATGCTTAACTTCAATCCCTGCATCACAGCCACTTGTTCACGATCACAGCGGGTGAAATCAGGGCCTTGGAAAGAGGACAAAAGCTAGCCACAGAATGGGTATTCTATTCACTTTATCATTAGTCTTTCTTTGCTTTTGTGAGCATTTACATGGGACACAAATATTTTCATGTCTTTTGCCTATTAAGAGATGTATTCACATACCTCTTCCCCAGATATCTTTGCCACCAATTTCTAATCATGGCCCTTTCCAATTCTGGACCCTCCAGCCAAACTAAGGGTCACAGCTATGAAATATAATTGTATATGCGGCCATTTCCTCTTCCAAGCAAAGCCAACAGCCTGGTGCATTACTCCAAGCTTCACTGGAAGGATAACCCTTCACCAGATGTTTTTCAGGGATGTTGTGGAGAGAGGTTATAGTTCTCCAGCTGACCAATTTGGGGTAGTGCCTGCAGAACCATCTGTAAGCCAGGCCCTAGTAGTTTCCTCTGTCAGCAAATCACAGGGAGTTGCCCATAGGAGCAGGTAGGGAGAGAGAAGGCAGGAGTGAGGAAAATGGGCCATTTGAATACATCTTCATGTAACTTTCTTCAGCCTTCAGGATCTACTCATTCTAATCATGGGTATGTCACTTCCATTTGATGATGGAGTGTTGCTGTACATGCCTCGGTTTGGTGGGCAGCTCAGTTCCCAGTAGCAGGCCAAGAGCTCTCTCTTAAAACAAGTTATTTATGGCATGACCAGTCTTGCTACAAAATTACCGGTTTCAGTCTTACAGGCCTGAAACTGGAACTCACCTGTAGGGGCCTGCCAAAGGCTTTGTACAGCATTCCTATCTGACAATGACACTCCACCACTAGATCTGCTAGATCACAAGGCCTAACTGGCAGAGCAGCTTGTATGCAGCCTGAACAAATTACAAAGCCTTTTCTTATTCTGGTCCCAACTCAAAACTGATAACTTTTTGGTCACTTGGTAAATGAGGTGGAGTAACACACCCAAATAAGCATTTGTTGCCTCCAAATAACAATAAGATCCACTAAATGTTATATCTCTTTATTGGTTGTAGGCACATTTAATGCAACAATTTATCCCTCACATTAAAAGGGATGTTTTAAAATGCCCCAAACCATTGGATCCTATTAATTTCACTGAGGTGGAAGGTCCCTGAAGTGTATTTAGATTTCCTACCTTATTTTACTGGTAAGTCTATTGCATTTACTATTTCTTGATCACTTGGTTCAGTCAGTATCATGTCATCAATGCAATTAGTATAGTATCTTGTGGATAGGGAAGGTGATTGATATCCCTGAAAACTAAATTATGACATAAGGCTGGAGAGTAGATAATACCCAAGGTAGGACAGTGAAGGTGTATAGCTGGCCCTGTTGGCTGAAAGCAAACTACCTCTGGTGGGCTTTTATGGATAGGTATGGTGAATAAGGCATTTTCCAGATCAACATTGTGTAGCAGGTACCAAGTAATGTGTTAATTTGCTCCAGCAATAAAACCACATCTGCTACACCAGCTGCAACCTTTTGGGAAATGGCTATGGTTTATCATAATTTTAACCAACATTATTATTGTGAAAATGCAAATACCAACCCAAAATAGAAGTAGTTTCTTCATATACAGGTAGGATAAAGCTGTTCTATGGCTTGCTCTTCTCATTCTAATAGGACAACATGGACATCTTCTGTTTAGTATATATAGACATGAGTCATGTTACATGGTTGCATGTTCAGTGAAACAGATAGACTGTAATTTATTTTAACCAATCACCTTCCTGATGGACATTTAGGTTGATTCCACTGTTTTGCTAGTAGAACCAATGCTGAAATGAATATACATTCACATGTAATTAAATATAACCTTTACATATAAAATGCAAATTACAAATATACATACTTAACTGCACATGTATAAATACTTCTGTAAAGTTGATTCCCTGGTAAAAGAGAATGCCCTATCTTTCCACCTCTTTTTTTTTTTTTTTTTTTTTTAATGACAAATTTCTGATAAGATTTCTTAACCAAGGAATGACTTCAGTTTCAAAATACATTCAGTTCACAGTATCTCTCAGCATACTTCTGGTAGCTCTTGATATATCAGGACTTGGTGAATTTGAGGATGGAAAGGTTTTCTTGGCCTGCCTGTCTGGTAAGTACAGTGGTCCCTTGCAGGCCTTTTGTCTTCAATGTTTTCAAAATGTCTTCTAAAATGGGTTAAAAAAAAAAATGTAAACTCCAATTAAATAATTTGGTGATGTATATGGTCACTAAACAGTTTAATAATATAAATACAGAATATTTACAAATTATATTCATCTGATAAAACATGTATTCCAAATAAATGTCTATTAAAGTGAACTTGGGACTTCAGATCACTTGGTACTTTCTAATCAGATTGAACAGCTTGATAGCAGTAGTAGTCTACTTTGGAAACATTAATTAACCACATTAATTAATAAACCAAACATTAACTAAACTTGTTACTATAGCAAGCAACCAATTTTTCAGTTGTGTGGCTGCAATCTGCCATATATCCTTCCCTTTGGATGAAAATGGTCAGCAAACGTATGGGCAAATTGAATAGTGATATTGGCTAGTAAGAATAAAAGTAACTTATTTATTTAAATGTATTAAAAAAAAGGGAAGCCTTCCTTTCATAAATAAATAAGACTGAAAAAAGTAAACTAAGAAAATGGAAACACAAAAACTAAATAAAGCTAGTAATCTTAATGTGATTTGAGGGGCTAAGGATATAAGACATAAGATTAAAATCAAACTGGGATATTCAGAAAAAGAGAAAATAGATGAAGCAATTTAGTTATAAAGTAATCTGAAAACCAAGCTATAAACATCCATATAGTAAAACAACTTTGAGTATAAAATTTCAGATGAACTGAAGAGTATATGGGCTGGGGGTGTGGTACATGCCTATAATCCCACCAGCTCGGGAGGCTGAGACAGGTGGATCATGAGTTCAAAGCCAGCCTCAGCAATGGTGAGGTGCTAAGCAACTCAGTGAGACCCTGTCTCTAAATAAAATACAAAATAGGGCTGGGGATGTGGCTCAGTGGTTGAGTGTCTCTGAGTTCAATCCCCGGAACCAAAAAAAAAAAGGAAAAAAGAGTATATGGCAGAACTGTCGATGACTTGAAGACTAGAGGGTAGAGAAAAAATTCACAATGTTGAGGGTAAAAAGGAGAAATCAGAGGTTTTTGTATTCAAATATTAGCTAATGAGTAGGAGAAGAATTTCACTCTCCCAAATAAAATTATACTTTTTTAAAACTTGAAAAGTTTACTTCTTAAAAATCTCTCCTCTTTCAACATTAATTTGTTATTAACGATTAAATTCATTAATATCCTATGTTACTTTATAAATTACAGTCTTCTATGTTATAAATTTTTGTTTCCAGCAAAGCAAATAGTTAGTAAGCTGGTATGTATTACCTGGATTGTTTTCTTTTATGGTAACTAAATAGAATAATCCTCTTGGGGAAAGGAGGTCTGATGCTAGTGGAAAGAATCTGTCCATAACTTCTCGGCCATTTCTGCCACCAGCCCAAGCTGCTGCTATTCCATGACTTCCCACCTGTGGCAAAGTAGAATTTTTTTTTTATCAACTCAAGACTTTAATTAGATAACAAAGTGAATCTGTTTGACAGGTAACATCACCAAACAAGCCTATATTTTGTATTTTACTGCTGGCAAACAGGAAGTGAAGTTGAATCTAGATTTCAGTTTCCTATTTTGTGTGAAGTTAGGCAAGGTGGTAATTTTCTTTGTGAATTACTTTCTTTCCTATCTTTAAAATTAGAAAAATACTAGTTTCATCAGTACAAATAGAAGAAATTATTAAAATATTTTTAAGGCTGGGGATGTAGTTCAGTGGTACAATGCTTGCCTAGCATGCACAAGTCCCTGGTTTCAATTCCTAGCACCAAAAAAATACTTTTATCCACTATAAGAATAAATAATTTCGAGAGACATTGCTTTACACATACTAAGTACTTAGTAATAATATGATAAAATGAGAGAAATGGTAATTCTTATACTTAACATAGAAGAATTCTTAGAAACCTGAAGGGAAAGCTTGTATTTTAAGAGAAACCTGAAGGGAGAGCTTGTATTTTAAGAGATATACTGTGTACAGACACAATTTCAAAATGTCCCAATGCATATGGACCTTTCCTATGCTACTATTGTATGAAATGTACAAACCTTTTTAGGAACCCATTTATTTTATAAAGGCACACTTAAGTATATTTTCCTCTAAAAATCTAATGATATTCTAGAAAGAAACTCTGTGTTAATTAGTTTTTTGTTGCTGTGATAAATACCTGAGAAAAACAAAATAGGAAAAATTTATTTTGGCTTATAGTTTTAAAGGATTCAGTCCGTGGTCAGCTGGCTCCCTGGCTCTGGGTCTGAGGTGAGGCAGAATATGGCAAAGGATGTGGTAGATAAAAGCTGCTCAGTGCCTAGCTGCCAGGAAGAAGAGAGAGACAGAAAGGAAAGGCCTGGGCACAAGAAATACCCTTCCAGGGAACGTCCCACTCCCCAAACTTCTTCCTCTCACTTCTTGCAGATTCCATCACTTCCAATAGCCTATTCATATTTTAATCTATAAATTGGATTAATTCACTCAGAAGGTTAGACCTCGTGATCCAATCATCTTCCAAAAGCCCCATCTCTGAACACTGCTATACTGGGAACCAAGCCTTCAACACATGAGTGATTGGAGGGCACTTCTTTATCCAAACTATAACAAACTACATGAAAGTTTTAGTATTAGAAATCTTTAGATCCTTACCACTGTATATTGTTTTCAAAATCAAAGAATATTTAAAAAAGTTAGTCAAAAATTACTTCAACCTTGACACAACTGTTTTCTATTTCCTTCTATAGCCTTTGTCCATATTTTAATTTAAAATATTTACATATAGTCATACTTCTGTTTATATTCATTTAATATGGCACATACTACTCCTTTAAAAATAATTATTTTATATCTATAACCAAATGCATATATAATTTTACAAAGAAGAAAAATGTGTTCATATACCTCCTTTTAAAATAGCTGTACTTTCCCTTGCTGCTTTGCTTGTCGTTTCCTCCCTTATCTTTTATGTGTAACAGGGATTTTTTAAAATTATATTTTACAAGAAAAGAATCATATTCTATATTCTCACCTGTATCTTGCTTTTCTTACCCAATAATATCTTATGGAAACCTCCTCTTTTCATCTGGTGTAGTTCTAATTTACTATTTTAATGGCTGTGTAATATGTTATTTAGTGTTTTTGTTATTATTCACTGTGTCTATTTGCATAATTTTCTTTGAATCTAAATCTGACTCTTTTCACATCTATGACACATTCCTTTCACTATAATTTTCCACAAAGCTCATCATTTTAGGAAATTTACCAGTTCCTCTGTTTTCTGTCAACTCTTTCCTCTTGGGGACTTCTCTGTGCTGGTATTCCTTTGATTTCTCCTGGGCTCAACTACCTCCTCTTCTGGGACCCATGTCTTTCTCTTCCTCTATTTATTCCCTTATTTTGGAGGAACACAGCCTCTTGATGTTTCAAGAGGTAAGATGGTCTGCGGCTAGCCCCTGCAGGGCCAGTCTCTTTGTCACTATGTCACAATATGGGTTAGGATTATTAGAGTTTGGATATGAAGTGTTCTCCAATGGCTCATGAGTTGAAGGTGTGATCTTCTATTCAACAATGTTCAGAGGTGGGGCTTTTGGGAAGTGATTGGATCATGAGGGTTCAGACCCCATCAATGGATTGACCCATTGACAGATTAATAATTTGATGGCATTATTTTGACATGGTAGAAACTACAGGAGAAGGACCTAGTTGAAGGGAGTGGGTTCTTGGGGGCATGTCCTTACTACTGTGTTCTGTCCCCTTTTATTTCTCTTTCTCTCTGCTTCCCAGCTGTCATGTGAGCAGCTCTTGCTACACCTGGACTGCCACGTTCTGCTTTACCATAGGCCCACAAGCAACAGAGCTAAGTGACCATGGACTGAAACCTCTGATACTAAGAAAATCCTTCTTTAAGTTGATTTTCTCAGGCATTTGGTCACAGGAAGAAAAAGCTGACTCACTTTGGTTTATCAGCTTTGCCAGAGAATAATCAAAAAAAATAAGTAAAATAAAGAAAAACTAGTCTTAGTCTATTATAAAACTGTCTGTCTTGAACTTCCTGGAAAAAGGGTAATACGGTTTACCTCTTTATTATTAAGGTATTAAAAATCATACATTTCAATTCTTTTCCCTACTAAAAATGAGAAATTGCTCCACTTCTGCTTTTTGGTAATACCTATAAAAGGAGGAAGGCAAAGACTTTCAGAAGGAATTCCTATGTGAATTTATTATTCATTAAAAATAATAAAAATTATTTTATTTCATAAACTTGTTATTCATGATAAAAGATAGATATAGACATGAAAATATAAACTTAAGTACTGGGCTGGGGATATAGCTCAGTTGGCAGAGTGCTTGCCTTGCATACACAAGGCCCTGGGTTTAATCCCCAGCACCACAAAAAAAAAAAAAAGAAGTTTAAGTATCTATTTTAAAATATGATTTAGGGGAGAATTTAAGGATATATATTATAATGTGTATTTTCATTAGTTTTCACTCCTTTACTATTTAATAACAGTATCCAATTACTGACAATTAGGATAAAATCAAAGCATTGTATTTACAGCAGCTGACCGATGTCAGATGATGTTCATTTTACTTTGGAAACAGAATAGCCAAAAATATTCATAACTAAATTTTGCTGCATGTCTTACCTCTTCAGGTGGAGTCACAACGTAGGGGGGATTGAACACCAGAAGATCAACTTTTTCCTTCAGTCTTGGTAATAAGCCTTTAACCTAAATATATTCAACAACAGAATTCTGATTTAAATAATTAGAAAAATGCTACTCTCCCAGGTTTGTGGAAAAAAGCAATGTTAGAAGGCTTTACTTTTAGATAGAAACAAATATTTTTACATTTTCAGATGAAGATTATATACACTTAACTAAAAACAATGATCAGAATGAACAAATGTTTAGTAAAGCCTCTGTTACTCAACAGCACATGTTTATACTCTGGGTTCCTTTTGAGAAAATGAAATAAGAAGAAGGCAAGCTCTAATTCTGTAGCAGATATTCTGCATAGATTTGGACAATAGTTTAGAATATGTCCACTGACTTAAACCTGTATTTCCTATAACCAAGAGAAATATTTGATGGAATGACAGAAAACACATCTGAGGTTCAGAAATGTAAGAAGATGAACTTTTGGTGTTTTGAAAATCCTTATAGTGGATATAATTTTCCATGGAACAAGAAAAAGTGTCCTTTTTATAGAAAGTATGTTTAGTACTTTCTTTAAAATTTTGTTTTTTCTGAAATAGCCAAGTGCCACTTAGAGTATTCCTCTATTCAATTAAACAACTAAATACTTAAAAATCATAACTGATTATGTCATGTTGTGCCTTCATACACATAGTGGAGTAAAAACTCTATATATGGAAGAGCTCTTTACTCATTGATTCTGAGGCTATTTCTTCACAATATGCAAAACTTTATTTATTAACCTCTCATAATTGTCCCCATATCTGCATAAATATCTACTATATTTGTTGAATACCATTCTTTAAATAAATACCATTTTGTTCAATAAATTAAATGTAAAAGGAGACTTAACCATTTACTATTATAAATGGATAATCAATAGGACTCTGGAAATAGAAATGTCTCAAGAATAAATGCAATACAAACAAAATGTTATTAAATTATAGTTACTGTTGCCAGTTTCAGAATAACCCAGGCTTGTTCTTTTCCTTAAAAGGCATTTGTCAGTGCTAAATAGGTGTTAAAGAAAAACACCAAACTGAGACCTTCTCCTTAATGTGATCAGAATGGTCGAAAGAGAATTAAAGAAACCTTGTAATTCAAAGTCACTTAATGCCCAGGCTTATCACCTAAATACTGGGTATATTGCTGGGCTACTTACATATATTACTATGAAACAGTATCTTTGAATTTTCATTTTATCCAGGTTTATGCAGGCAATCCTATTTTAATTATCAGATTAAGTCTGTTAACTATGCTGTTCAATGAGAATATTAAGTTGTACTTTTGAAGAAATGTTTACAGAGGTAAATTTTCTTTCTCATTTAAAAAGAGAAAAGATAACCAGTTTTTGGATGTAATTCAGATGTAGTCTTGTCTTCAGTCAAAAGATGAGAAATCTGTTGTCTTCCCCAGTAATAGCACTGGTGTGAGGAAATACATTTAAGTAACCAAAAGCTTTTCTGAGTCCCATAAGAAATTAAGTTTCTCATAATGTAAAGAACTCCACAATACAATTTTCCACAAATGCTGGGTAATGAAACTAGAAAAGTATGTGCTTTGCAACTGTTTATGACAGCCCCTGAGGTACTGCTGTTATAATCACTGCAATAACTGAATTTTAAATAAAGAGAAAAATTGATATTAAAAATAGGAAATCTTATAGTTAAAATGAATTTAAATAAGTCATTATGGACTTGATAAAAAGTCTAAACTGTAGTTATCTCTTACCCATTCATATTCATTCATATTTTTAATTTGCTAAATAACACAGCCTGGAAACATCTCTGAGAATTGGGAAATAAGCAAAATAGGCCTCCTAGCAAAACTCATAGAATTTATTCATATGAGAGGCACTCATTCAGAATTCCTTAACTCTTGGTCTAAGTAACAATTCAACTAAATTGGTTGTTTGATTTTCTAGCATAAAACACATTAAAATGGAGAAACAAAATTTTTTCAATAAGTAGCAATGAAATATGACAAAATAAAGCAACTAATATGGCAGACTATAGCTATTTAGTGTAAAGGTGGATATACCCGAATAGACCTTAATCATCACCATACATAGCACAGACAATATTAACGAGTCAAAGGTGAAATATGTTTGGTATGTTTTAAGCACATAAAGAAAAGTGTAATACACACTTTTAAAGACTTTTATAAAACTAAAAATGAAATATAGTGAAAGTGGTACTTTTTAAACAGGTAAATCAGCAATCCAAAACCATGAGTTTACCTGGAAATCTATGCCCCATGTTCTGAAAAATGCTTTATAAATTCTGTAAAGGGTTTATAAGTTGATCACAACATCTATGCTTAGGCCAGTCTCTTGTTTATTGCTTTGTATAAGTGAATATTCAGTATCACGACTGGTCAACAAATACATGAAAAAAATGTTCAACATCTCTAGCAATTAGAGAAATGCAAATTAAAACTACACTGAGATTTCATTCTAGTCAAAATGGCAATTGTCAAGTATACAAGTAACAATAAATGTTGGTGAGGATGTGGGGGAAAAGTACACTCATATATTGCTGGTGGAACTACAAATTGGTACAACCACTATGGAAAGCAGAATGGAGATTCCTTAGAAAACTTGGAATGGAACCACCATTTGACTCAGTTATCCTACTCCTTGGCATATACCCAAAGGACTTAAGATCAGCATACTATAGTGATGTGGACACATCTATGCTTATAGCAGCTCAATTCACAATAGCTAAGCTATGGAAGCATCCTAGGTGCCATAAAGCCATAAAGAATGAAATTATGGCATTTGCAGGTAAATGGATGGAACTGGTGCTATCATGTTAAGTGAAATAAGCCAGTCCCCCCAAAAGCCAAAGGTCAAATGTTCTGATATACAGATGAAGACTCATAATAGGCAGGGGGAGGAAGGAGTTGAGGTTCACCGGATCGAAGCGGGTGGGTGGGGTAGAAAGTTAGGGGACAGGAACAGGGATGGGAATGGGAAAGACAGTAGAATGAATCTGACATATAACTTTTCTATGTTCATATATGAATACATGACCAGTGTAACTCCACATCATATTCAGCCACAAATATGGGATGTTACATGCCATGTATGTATGATATGTTAAAATGCTCTGTATTAATAAAATAAAAATATTTTCAAATTGAAAAAAAATTTTGTACTGTCGTGTATAACTAAAAAGAACAAATAAAAAAAATTTAGTATTAGAGTCAATGTTACTGGAGAACTGATTCTGGCATGGACACCCAGTAAGTTTAAATCTTAAAAGAGCTAAGGGACTTCTAGATTTGGATTTGGATAATCTGGATTATCCAAATAATTTAATTTTGAATTTATGGTTAATACCATGTAGCTTCCAAAAATATAACCTGTTTAAAATATTCCCATGTCTATTTAAAAATATAGATATTCTGAATTTCTTCTGTCTCTGAAGTTTCACTGATCTTTCAAAAGCATATTTAAGCTAGGTATGGTATTATACCCCAGCTACTGAGGAGGCCAAGGCAGGAGGATAACAAGTTCTAGGCCAGTCAAAGACAACTTAGTAAAATTCTGACTTAAAAAATTAAAAAACAAAAAGAGCTAGGAATATCACTCAGTGGTTGAGTGGCCTTGGGTTCAAACCCTTACCACAAACAAACAACAAAAAAAAAACACCAACAAAAAAACCCATCAAAACATATATTTCGTATCAATTATGGATACACTAAGGAAACATTTAAAAAAATTAAATCATCACATTGATCTAATGTAAATCACCTAATATTCCTTTTCTGATACTGTAGTTTTTATTAGCAATAATAACACTAGCAATCTGAAAAAAATTTGTGTCTTTGGCTTAATTCCTTCTGGACTGCAAAACAATTGTAAATTTGAAGAACAAGAAAGCTACCTATTATCATTAGTGTAAGACTAATAACACAGGTCAAGAAGCACAGAAAGCATTTTGCATTTTTTTATGTCTAGCTGGGATGTGCTATTGATTTTTGCTGATTAAAAGGCATTTCATGTCTATAACTAAAAAAACTTATGAATTAAAATTTATCCAAGTCTTAATATCAACTTAACTGCAACTTAAGAGTACATGATGTTAACATCTTCTTTTTTGGACATAATATCTTCATTCATTTATTCATTTTTATTTGGTGTTAAGGATCAAACACAGTGCCTCACACCTGCAAGCCAAGCGTTCTACCACTGGGCTAAGCCTCAGCCCCTGATGTTAACTTCTTAAAAGAAAACAATGGTTCTACAGCTGTCATTTGTTGCTTTTGCCTGCCTAGGACCCATTCTACCTTTTTTTAAATTACATCTCCTTGGCTGTTGTTGGAGAAACTCTACCTTCTGTCATTTTAAATCCAAGTGGCTCAGGTAGGGTCTAATCCAAGCCAGTTCTTGAAGTGAGACTATGACTCAGTTCTAAACCATTAATCTACTATTCCAATTCCCCTGGGATACAGAGAAAGAGATATATGCACATAACCCAACACTCATTCTGGGTCTTTCGTTAAAACAACAGACTATAAAGGGTTTCTCTAGTTGGGGAGTTGCTGAGAAATATAATGCAGACATGCAAATGTCTTATTACTATGAAGGGAAAAACTACCTAAGAACAGAGCCAACAGAGAAAAGTTCAGAGCCAGGAAAAATATGCGTGTAACATCATTTGAGTTCCTGAAGTCAAGTGTGCATGATGCTATCCACTTTTAAAATTCAAACTAATGTGAATTTAGTTCACTGATACAGATGATGCCTGACTTATGCAAGCCAATATCAATTTCTTTTGAAATATGGAGAAGATGGATTCTATCAGCCAAGAATTTATATAAATTATACTGCTTAGTGTTAGTGGGTCATGAGTTAATTCATTACTAAAGTTTCTTTGACGTAAAACATTGTGACTTTAATTTATTTTTTTAATTTTTATTTTTTGGTACTGGATGGTGGTGGAGGGATTGAACTCAGAGATACTTTACCCAGAATTATACCCTTAGCCCTTTTTATTTTTAATTTTGAGGTAGGGTCTCACTAAGATGCTTAGGCCTTGCTAAATTGCTGAGGCTGGCTTTGAACTGGGATTACAGGTGTGCACCACCACACTTAGCTTGACTTCAATTCATTTGAAAAGGAAATTGATATTGAACAAGGATTAACAGCTTACCAAATCTGTAATTACTGGTTGAATCTGGACATTATTACGGCGTCCTGTTTCCAGGGTGCAAACTGCTGCATCAGGGTTGATATCAGTGCACCTAATAATAATAATAATAAAAAAAAGAATACTATTTCCTATGTCCATGAGGCAAATCTGATACTGAATAATTCAAGGAATGAATTCTACATATAGCAGGTGTAGAAAAAAATTAGAATATTTTAATAATGGCAAAGAAGAACAAACATTGGTTAGATTGATGAAAAGATGATTATACTGATATAATTTATAAGAACAGAATAATAAACATATATGCATACACATCTGAAGAAACTTATTTAACTATAATACTATGCAGCCACCAAAAGTATGATTTAAGAAAATTCTGATACAGAAGTGCTCATGATACAATATTAAGTAAAAAATGAAAATAAAAAAAAAAAGAAAACACACTTGGATGATATGGGGTAAAAATTTTTGGTGACTTATTTTCTTCATATTTTTCTATATTTTCAAAGTAAAACATTTAAGTCTAATCTCAGCAACTTGTGGGGTGGAGGCAGAAGGATCATAAATTTGAAGCCAGAAGCAGCAAATTAGCAAGACCCTGTCTCAAAATAAAAAATAAAAAGGACTGGGGATATAAGGAACTGTTTGAATATAAAGTTGGAATTCCTAGGGAAACATAATTTGCAATCTTTGTCCTTATTATTCTTAAACACAATCAGATACAGACATAAAAGTTTTTCATTCAAGCAGTCACACTCAGTGAATCTCACTGTAAGATCTGGGTGAACATTATTATATACGTACATGTACAAAGCCTGAGGTCCTATCATAGAGGCTAGAAATGCAGATACCACACCAGACCCTGACCCAACTTCAAGGCAAATTTCCACTCTAAAAAATATACAACAAAGTAAATATTAGTACAGTAGTATTAAAATACACCTCACAGAAAATCATTCTCATTCTAGTTATATTTCTCCAACATCATTGCTCCCCTGCAAATATATGGAAATATAAATTATAATTTCTGACAATCACTTTGTGCTTTGACACTGTGCAACTCAAAACTGCTAATGTTTTGCGGGTGTAACATATGGTAAATCCATAAAAGATACATATTACAACATATGGCTCTTAATTTCAACAAAGCATTACAAAAATTCATGGAATATTAACTTAGGGTTGGAAATACTAATATGAAAGATGCCATCCCTTTCTGGGATAGTATTTCCTGGGTTAGTATTTCCTAAAGTATTAGTGTTGGTATTACTACAAACTTTATTTATGAAAGAAGTTACTCTATAATTTTTAAGTACTTAACCTTCATAAATTCAACAGCACATCCTAGGGGAAAAAAGGTCCTCCATTCTACTTGTAGAGACGTAGAGCAGCAAAGGAATTCTGCATTTGTATAGTTAAATGCTCAAATGGTAATATATCTGAATATTTGGTCTTAGAACATTGCTAAATATAATAACATCTTCATGTTATTGCATTTCCTCTTTAAACTTATTTCCTTGTTCCCAATCTTATACATGCATCCAAAGCACCAATTATTCCCAGTTACAAAGGTTGACTTGATAGCATTTAAGGGAATTTCTAGCACTTAACTCCCCAAACAACTATCCAATAAGAAAGTATGATTCTCTGACTTTGGAACCAGTCCACACATGCCTTTAATGGGCTAGTATAATGGGCTATACTAAGGTCTGTGAATCTTTTCAGGCTTTTCTTTGAAAACAACTATCATGGTCTCATAATTAGAATTCCAAGAGTAGAAATATCCAAGATTATAATAAAATCAGATCCTTTTATAGCAGATTTTGTAATGCAATTTGTGCTTGTAAACTTTCTGAGATATTGAGAATAAAAGACAAGCTATAAAACAGTACTGTACCACTCTATAGTCCAGTATATCCAAAAGTTTCACCTATGATGAAAAATCAGTTTTAAGAGTTGGCACATTCTAAATGTGCAAAAAATATGACCCCGTTTAAGAGGGATAAACTCGTTATAGACCTTTGAAGCTGACAGCTGTTTGTTTCATCCTGAGGAAAACCACTTCAAGTCTTGATCATTAAATAAATCTAATGACCCCAAATCCTTTCATTCAAAAATTACAGGTAATAGTTCTTTTTCTTATTAATCTAAAATTAATGGCAAACATTTGAACAAATCAAGAGTAGATTCTATAGACTGTTAAATCCATGTAACAACTTTCTACAATGAAACAAGAAATTCAGTGTGTCATTTGCATTAGTCACATTTCCAGTGTTCAACAATCACATGTGGCTAACAGCTGTCATTACAGAATATGTAGAGTGGGTTTACAAATTCCTTCGTGCTCCCAGTATTTCACCACCTTTCTTCTTTTTGGTGCCCTCTGTTGCACCAAAAGTGTCTTTTATGAGCTAGGTAACCCCCCCACCCGCCAACAAACATCAACATCAGCGTTTCAGGAATATTTTGTTGTTTCTGAGTGTGCTATCTATCGAAGCTCTTAGATTAACAGACTAACAGCTGGAAGGAATAATTACATCACAACGTGGTACAGCGACAAGGAGCTCAGGAGCCAAGATCAATACCTGGCTTAGAGATAAATTGCTTGCACATTAGCTGCGCGCATCTACAGGAAAACACTCATATAAGGCACTCGCTCTGCTGTCAATCATCCACAGAAGGGCGGGCTAAGCCACCACCAGTTGAGGCCGGCGACACTCCTTTCCCTGGCCGCTGAGGCCCCTCCGGGACACCCAAGCCCTCTCCCGCTAGGGCCCTCTCCCTCCTCGCACCCAGCCAAATCGGCTGCTGCCGCCTGGAGCGCGTCCAGCAGCAGGAACGTGTCTTCCGCGGGCTCGTACACGTCGCCGAAAGCGCCCCGACACGCGTGCCCGTGCAGCGGCGTAGGAAATTCCTGCGCCGCCATCTTTCACTCCTTCGTCCTCTGCGCATGCGTCAGGATCGCGCATGCGCACGCGCACGCGCCTGGGCGCCGGCCCAGAGTGGGACTGAGGCTCAGGCGCTGTTTTTTTGATTAGTTGTAGCAGTCTGTGTGGATGCTGTTGGAATTTCTCAGTAGACAGTTACTTACTCTCTAGCTGTTGCCATTTGCTTTTGCTTTTGAACATTTATTTCATTTTATGGACTTACCTGATACTGGGCATCCTCAGTCGTTTTTTGACTAAGGTGAATGTTATATTCCTATGACATTTGGAGAATTTCTTCTATTTTTAGTTTGCAAGTGTTTGCAAAAATAATGATAACTAAGTTTTTATTATTGTCTCTTTTTCTTTACACGAGTTGAACTTTAAAGTTTGAACTTTACGATTAAGTTTTTTTTTTTTTTGGTCATTTTGATTTTTTTAAGTCAAATTAAACCATTGTGTATAAATGCCACATTTTTTAATCCATTCATCCATTGAAGGGCATCTAGGTTGGCTCCACAGTCTAGCTATTGTGAATTGTGCTTCTATAAACATTGATGAGGTTGTGTCCCTGTAGTATGCTGTTTTTAGGTCCTTTGGGTATTACAGAAATTGCTTTTATGATGTTGAATAGTATGTGCACTCTTTTTATAAATCTTAAGATGATGCTGTTTTCTTTTAATACATTGCTGGAATGATACTAAACTAGCTCTTTGTATTTCAGGATTATGCTGTGCTCCTAGAAGGAGATAGGACTCTGTTTCTGGAACATTTGGTAGAACTCATCCATAAATCTACTTTGGTTTGGTGCCTTTTTCACTGGATGGTGAAGGGTTATGGAAAATAATTTTCCTACAAAATAGCCCCCAAGGAAAAGCGGAGAGACTGTGCAGCTCCAGAGGAGGGAGGGAAAACTAGGCAAGCATTAGCTTTCCAGTAAGTAAATCCTTTCCGTATAACAATGGGTCCTGAAGGCAGGAGGCAATACTAAATGTTAGGCTCTGGATTTTGACCTTCCTGCCATTGCAAATTAGCCCAAAAGTACACACTGTAAGTACTAAACAGTGGGCCTTGGATGAAGGAGGCTATATTGAAACTCTAGGAGACAATAAATTCCAGAAAAAGAAATACCCATCCCTCACAATCTGGACTCCTAATGAAGCTAGAATTAGACAGGCAGTCATATTGATAGGCAAATCAAATCAGGTGGATCAAGGAGGCCAATGTGAGTGAGTCCAGGAAGTTGAAAACTGCTACCTGAGGGATTGAAATGCCTTCAGAGCCTTTCCTCCAACCTATCAAGGTAACCTGCTAAGGTAACCTGTCCCTAGAATTGCCCGTCCTTACAGGGAGTTGTAAAAGTTGTTAATTAATGTGTTTTGGTTCCTTTTGGCTGTCCCACCATCCCACAGCAGAAAGAGAGATAAGGGGAAGGGAGCAGGAGAACAAAGGAAGCCTAAGACCTATAAAAAAGGCAGAACACCTTCGCTTCTTGGGATACCAGGGTGTCGCGATGGGCAAAGGTGCAACATTTGCAGTTGAGGAGAGAAATAAAAAATGTCCATGAGTTAATGCCCTTTTCAATTCTTTATTCACTCGAAATCACTCAATACAGTTTTACTCTATAGGTTCTTAAGAAATGACAGTCCTTAATGCTGGGCACTACAAACAATAATTCAGACTGATAAAAGCAATAAATACAACTAATTCAAAACCAACAAATTCTAAGTTAACTCTAAGAACTGCAAACACACTTAATCATGACAGACCTATGACAGACATTCTCTCTGCATGCTAAGCTCAAATGCCAGATTTAAAGTGTTAGACCTTAAGTCCAGCAGATGCACCTTCACTCAGACTGCAGCAATCAGGTCAGGAACCGATGGAGGATTCTCCTCTTGTGGAGTTGAGGACTGGCTGAGGAGGCAGTCATAAAGAGAAGTTGCCTTTCTCACCAGGATCAAGAAGTTGCTGTAGAGTTTGAGAGTGGTGAGAATGATGCAGAGTATCGGGCAGATGATGAGAAGAATTGGGATGTTAGTCCAGGTCCTCATCAGGCTCTCTGGCATGTGGGCATCAGTGTCGGCTGGCTTGAATGTATGTTCATGTGTTCCATTATTTATACTAAATTTTGGGGCTTCTGCGTATCATCTGTTACCAGGTTTCTTAGTGACAGTTTACATCTTAGAGAAGACACTTGGTCTGGTGGTTTCCGCCCTGATATTACCCTTCTGGCTCTTATCAGGGTTAAGGCAAATGACATGTTTATATCAGGTGATTTCACTCTGACTCAATATGCCTGATGACATATTGGAGTGCTCTGTGGGCTTACCTGGTGAGACTGAAGTTTTAAATGGAATTTTAAAATGGAGTTGCTTAGGCTAAGGCCATCCTTACACAGGGTACCAGCTATGGCCCCCTGTTCCCTCCCTCTATGGTACCCCTTTTTAAATAAACCCTTCTTTGTATGCTTGCCTTGGTGTACTTCTCTAGTGTTATACTTCAACATATGAGGGAGCAGAACTGTCACTATCTCTCCAAGTAACAATGAGTCTCAGTCTTTTTATAGCTGCCCTCCTGAGTTAAAACTTTTAACCTACATAACTAGCCCCTTACTGTCCCAATGGCACACTCACAAGTTCCAATGATGAAATCACCCTAATTGTAGCCTGTAAACCCCAAATCCCCTCTGTAACCAGCTGCCATTTTCACATTCAGATAATAAGTCCTTATAGTGCCGGAGTTCATGAAGAATGATAAATGGCTTCCCTGAATCTGTTGAGGTCTGCATCTGCCATTTTATGCTTACAGATGGATCTCTGATGTTTTGGGGCATCTTCTGTAGGTTATTAAATTATTCAAGTATTTCCATTTTTTGGAATTAACTTCTGAATTTTGTTTTCCTGTAAAACATTTTCAAAGCTAGTTTTTTTTTTTTTTTTAATTTGAGAAACAAAAATTCAGGAAAGTATTTGGATTATATTTTTAAAATGCTGCATATATACCACCTAGAATTGACATCCATTAGCATTTTCTCATATTTCCTTAATATATTTTCAAAATACAAAATTGAAATATTATGAATGAAATGGGAGTTCTTTCTGGACTCAACGTGAACTTCATTTTGTTGCTAAGTGCCGCAGTCTGGCTGGGCACAAATGCCGCAGTCTGGCTGGGCACAAAATCACGAGCCACCACACAGCTTGTAGATTCAAACAGCAACTCTTTATTCCCGAATTCACACCAGCCGTCTACAATCACGTTCTGGGGAAATCAACGTTCTCTGCCCAAATCCACGTTCTCTGCCCAAATCCACCTCCACGGGGCTTCTATCTCCAAAATATACTGTCTGAATCCCGTGAGAACTCAAGGGGAACTCAGGCAGCAGGATACGCCCTATTCCCAGCAGGAATAATCTTAAACCTTAAACCTGGAACCTAAACTGGGAACGCCCTAAACACGATTATCTTAAAACCGGGAACACCCTAATCTGCCTTGGTCCTTGAGTAAGGTCACCTACATTCAATGTCGCTGCAACATGTCAGCAACATGGGGTACGCTGGCAAGGAAATTGTCATACCTACTTGGCTAATGGCTCCCAGCAGCTAAGAGTCATAGCCAAGTAAAAATGATGCATGGCATTTTTGGTTGTAAGGTGAAGCCAGCAAGCCATTGAGATGATATGATTATGTTAAGATCTGCATTCAAATGGATATTAGACCCCTGCTGTCCACCTGGGCCTGCTACTTTGGAAATCTGGGACTCCCAAAGAGTTCCCATTGGTTGGGAAAGTGTGGTAGGAGGGAATTCCGGAGGAGGGATTTCCGGTTGGGGTAGTGTGGCCCGGGAGAACGCGCGTGTGTGGGTCGCATATTTCCCGGGAGCACACAGGGCATTGGCGGGAGTTTCAAAATAAAGTTTGTTCCTGTTTGAGTGGCTCGTGATTTTGTGCCCAGCCACACTGCGGCATTTTGTGACCCTCATTTCAAAGTAACTTCTCTCAGATTTAGTGTATATATATATCTAGCCCATGTTTTAATGCTTTCACATTAATATATTTATAAATAACAAATGGTTTATGTGTTTTAAAAAGGTATAACTGGTAAGAGGTTGCCATTTTATTCTTCAAAATTCATTTTCACTCAACATTATATGAGATCTATTTTCGATATATATAAAGTGAATTTATTCCTTTTAACTGCCATCAAGCATTTCACTATATGAAAAAATTCTGTCTGGAATGGATAAATATCTGTTGGTAAACTTCTTTCCAGTTTTTCATTATTATGAATAACACTGTAATTAACTTTTGTATGCATGGTTTCTTCTGATATTATACATGAATTTCCTGGTACAAAACCCAAAGAGGGCCTGGCGTGGTGATGTATGCCTGTAATCCCAGTGACCTAGGAGGCTAAGGCAGGAGGATCACAAGTTCAAAAGTCAGCCTCAGCAAAAGAGAGGCACTAAGCAACTTGTTTAGATCCTGTCTCTAAACAAAATACAAATAGGGCTGGGGTTGTGGCACAGTCCCTGGTACCAAAACAAACAAAACAGAACAAAAAACTCAAAGTGGATCTGCTTAGTATATATACATTTTCAATTTTGCTAGGCATTGCTGAAGTTCTTTCTAAACTAATTGCATTTATTTTATTGTATTTATTATTTGATTTAATACTCAGTCTTGTTTATTTTAGATTGAATTGGTTTTATTGCAAATTAAGGTTAGGCAGATGTTCATTTGTTCATCATTTGATTTTCTTCCTTGGTGAATTGGCTTTCACTTCTGCTTATTTTTCCTTCGTGTGTGTGCACACAAGATGGCTTCATCTTCACATCTTCACACTACTAAATTCAGTGAAAGAGTCTTTCAGTTCTTTGCACACAGCTTCTGTCATTCACTTTCTTATTGGTCCCAAGTGGGCCATGTGCTCATGTCTGAACAATTCTGTAGTCAGAGAGATGAAATGATTCTTCTTCCTTTAGGGCTGGGACAGGGGCCTCCCTCTACCTATATGCCCC